AGTTGGTACAGTCCTGAACGTATTTGGTGGTGTCAGTCAACAAAGTAGGCCACCAGAAGCGATTTTGGAGTAAGTGGATGGTAGCAGTGATCCCGGGGTGACCAGAACTTGGTGTGGAGTGAACTAGCTCGAGGAGTCGGAGACGAAGAGAGTCTGGAACGAAGAGGAGACCAGTTGGGCATTCAGATGGTGTTCTTACTTGAAGGTTGGCTTGTTGGATCTCCGTGATAATGTCCCATTGTACGGGAGCTACCAGCAGGTTAGTATGAATGACATTCTCGTGATTGGGATTTTGAGCTGTTTCTTCCGTTTGACGAGAGAGAGCGTCGGCTTTGGTATTCTTGGTACCAGGTCGATAAGTCACCGTGAACTGGAATCTGGTGAAGAATAGAGCCCACCTAGCTTGCCGAGGATTCAGACGTTTGGCAGAGCGGAGATATTCAAGGTTCTTGTGGTCAGTGAGAATTGTGAAGGGTTGACTCGCTCCCTCCAGCCAGTGACGCCACTCCTCTAGTGCTAACTTCATGGCTAGTAGTTCGCGATTACCCACGTCGTAGTTACGTTCGGCCGAGGTAAGTTTTCTGGAGAAGAAAGCACAGGGGTGCATCTTGGCTGGATTGCCCTGTCGTTGGGATAGTATTGCACCTACCCCTGTGTTGGAAGCGTCTACCTCCACAATAAATGCTTGTTCTGGATCTGGATGACGGAGGATGGGTGCGGATGTGAAACGAGTCTTTAGTTCTTGGAATGCTTGATGGGCTTCGGTGGACCAGTTCAGACGAGCAGAGTGACGTTTAGTCATGGCGGTTAATGGAGCTGCGATGATGCTGAAATTTCTTATAAACCTCCTATAGAAGTTGGCGAAGCCCAAGAATCGCTGAAGTTCCTTGATAGTTCGAGGCAACGGCCAGTCCAGAACTCCCCTGACCTTCTTCTCGTCCATGGCTACCCCCTCCTGGCTGATGATGTATCCCAAGAATGATGTGCTGGTCTGATGGAACTCGCATTTCTCAGCCTTGGCGAAAAGTTGGTATTGAATTAGACGTTCCAGAACCAGCCTGACCTGTTGAATGTGTTCCTCCATGGAGTTCGAGTAGATTAAGATGTCATCGATATATACAATCAACCACTTATCCAGCATGTCCCGGAAGACGTCGTTCATGAAAGCCTGGAACACGGAAGGACTGTTAGACAGCCCGAAAGGCATAACCAAGTATTCGTAGTGCCCACTAGTGGTCGAGAAGGCGGTCTTCCACTCGTCCCCCTCTCGGATGCGGATCAGATTGTAAGCATTACGCAGATCTAACTTGGTGAAGTACTTGGCTTGACGGAGTTGTTCCAGAGCGGCAGGTACCAGGGGCAAGGGATACCTGAACTTCACAGTGTTGTCGTTCAACCCACGGTAGTCGATACAGGGTCGTAGTCCTCCGTCCTTCTTTTTCACGAAGAAGAATCCGGCCGATGCTGGTGAGGTTGAAGGTCTAATGAACCCCTTTGCTAACTCCTCCTCAATGTAGCGTTTCATGGCCTCGGATTCAGGTCGAGACAGAGGAAATATTCTTCCCCGGGGAGGAGCAGCCCCGGGGAGAAGATCAATGGCGCAGTCACTGGAGCGATGTTCTGGTAGTTGAGAGGCTTTCTCCTTACTGAAGGCTTCGAGAAGATCTGCATAGTCGAGTGGTACTTTTGATCCTTCTGGATCTGACGTGGAGGTGTCCGGACTGTGAGTGGAGATTCGAGTGACACTGGATAGACAGCGGTTTTGACAGGTGGCGTCCCATTGAGTGATCTGACCCTCCCTCCAGGAGATGTGTGGATTGTGATTCCGTAACCAGGGGAGACCAAGTATGACGGAGTGATGAGGGGATTGAATGACGTAGAATTTGATATTTTCTGAATGGAGTGATCCAACGTGAAGTTTGACGTTCTCAGTGATGCTGTGAATTCTTCCCTCTCCGAGGGGTCGACCGTCTAGCGCCTCCACTGCCAAAGAAGAATGACAAGGGTATAATTCGAATTTGCCCTGCACAGCGAATTTGTGAGAAATAAAGTTACCAGCCGCTCCTGAATCTATCAGAGCGGTGGTATTGATCACTTTATCCCGAAACACTAGACGAACTGGTATGGTTAGGCTGGATGTGTTTGAGTTGGTTCTTATGCAGTTACTCACCGATGAAGTGCTAGAAGAGGGACGAGTTGGGCAAGCGACCCTCAGGTGTCCGGATTGACCACAATACAGGCATAAACGGTTCTGCATTCTGCGTTCACGTTCCTCGGGTGTGAGGTGAGTGAACCCGATCTGCATGGGCTCGGGCACGGAGATGGCTTCCTGATGATAGCGTGGCGGGACACGAGCTGAACGTCTGGAACGGATTAAATTATCAACTTGGATGGCGAGATCGATATATTCGTTTAGGTCTCTTCCCTCATCCCGGCAGGCTAGTTCAGACTGGAGTTCGGTGGTCAGTCCCTTCCTGAAGAGAGTCTTTAAGGTATCCTCCACCCAGTTGGTTTGTGCTGCGAGTGTACGGAAAGAAAGAGCATATTCAGCCGTTGTCCCTCTTCCCTGAGTGAGAGTTAACAGTTGTTCTCCAGCACTTCCTCCTGCAGTGGGGTGTTCGAAAACATGACGAAACTGCTGAAGGAACTCACTGAAAGAGGAAAACGATGCTCCGTCTGTTCCCCAGACCGCGGTGGCCCATTCCAACGCCCGACCCGTGAGCAGCGAGCAGACGAACGCTATGCGGCTCGCATGAGTGGTATAGAGTGAGGGTTGTTGATCAACGAAGAGGGTGCATTGTAGTAAGAAACCTTTGCATTTAGTGGTGTTACCATCGAATTTCTCTGGGAAAGCAAGCCGAGGGTTGGCTGAGGCGCTCGGGATGGCTGGAGATGGTGGGACCTCTTGCTGCGGTGCGGCGGGAGCGGAAGATGCGTTTCTCATCTCTGTACGCAGTTCTTGTAACCCCCGAACTAGCTGCTCAGTGAGGGAAGTCAAATGGTTCAGTTGATGGTGATGTACCTCAAGACGTGAAGCTTGATTCGTGAGCTCCGTGGACAACTGCAGGACAGCTGCTGGATCGTTGGGTGGCGAAGTATTCTGTAATGATGGCACAGATACTGAGGAATCCATTTGCAGCTTTAATGAGAATGGTCAAACAGGCAGGGTAATCGACAGCAGACAGAAGCAGCGAAGGTAACACAGAGAAGGTCGAGGTCACAGGCAATAGTCAAGGCAGGCAGAAGTATACAAATCCAAAGGGCAATCCGGGTCGAGACAGGCAGAGAACAGTCAGAGGTCGGGGTACACAATCCAAGATCAGAACACAGAATGGCAAACTCAGAAATAAACGCTTGTTATTGAAAGACAGGGCAATACAATACTTCGCAGAGAAGTGGTGTGTGGAAGTGGCTTTTATGTGTGTGTAAATGACATGCAGGTGTGTGTGCAATCAGTATGGTGCAGGTGTGTCGCGTAATCAGTCCCAGGTAAGCGGCATGATGGGAAGTGAAGTTTCTAAGGATGGTTAATATTCCGGGGAAGGATCCCTCCGGTGGCGAAGAGGGAGTGGAGCGGAAGCCTGTTCCGTTACAACACTTCTGTTTAGCTATGCATTTACTGAATGAGCACTGTGCCACTGTGTCCGACTGTTTGTACTGTATTTTATTTTATTTTTTATTCTAAACTGCTTTAATTATTCTTATTTCTTTTGATTATTTTAATCTCTTTATTCTTAACTGTTTTAATTATTCCTATTTCTTTTGATTTTTTTTTTTTTTTATGTAAAGCACTTTGAATTGCCATTGTGTATGAAATGTGCTATATAAATAAACTTGCCTTGCCTTGCCTTGCCTTTATAAATCTTCTCCGTGTGCCAGACATAATGTGATACAACTTAAAATAGTTCTGAGAGCACACTTGACCAAGACAAGGCTGGTGAAAATCTTCCCTGATATAGACCCTACGTGCCCTCGCTGTAAAGGCCAACCAGCGGATTACATACACATGTTCTGGTCCTGCCCTAAACTTTATACATTCTGGGCCAACATCTTTAGCGCTTACTCTAAGATTCTTCAAAAAAACATTACCCCCAACCCAGTATGTGCCCTATTTGGATTTACCTCTGAAAATCACCCCCAAACATGCCCCATTACAGCATTCACTTCTCTGATTGCCAGACGTCTCATTCTGCTCTCCTGGAAGGAGCAAACACCCCCCAGCTTCACTAGATGGGTTAAGGATGTAATGCATTTCCTGAAGCTGGAGAAGATCAGGTATACCCTTACAGGCTCCTTGCAAACATTCAGGAAGGTTTGGAGCCCCTTCTTAGAATACTATGAGAGCTTACAAACACCCTTAAATATAAGAAGTTATCCTCAAAGTGAAGCGGCAATATCCCCCCTCCCCCCCCTTTTTTTTTCTTTTTTCTTTTCTTTCCTCTATAATTATTATTTATTTATTATATATTTGACTGGACTTATTTAGATATCGTATTTGTATTATTATTATTCTATTCCCCTCTTATTTTCCCCCCCCCAGCCCCCACTCATTCCTTTACTGTATTGGTAAGGTTATTATGTATTGTATTATGCTCCAGCAATCCTTAGTTGGATCAGCACTTCAAAGGACAATCATTCTAGGGGAGATCTGGATTTAAAGGGACAAACTGGGATGGTTGGGTGGGGTGGTTGGGAGGGTTGGGGTGGGGAGGTATCTTCATAAGAATTAATATTTGTATAACACAGCAACATTTGGTTGTATACATTCGGTCCAATATGTGTTGTAAAAAATGTTACATTGTTTAATATAAAATCAATAAAAATTATTTAAAAAAAAAAAAAGAAAAAAAAAAAGAATATACTCTGTTAAAGAGTGAAGATAATAATTGTATTAGTAAATGCTAAAATGAGGGGGTTTTTTTATTCATCAAATACAACACAATCACAATGCTGACATCAGTGCCTTCACAAGCACAAAGACACAGTATGAGCATAATTAATCTTGCGACAGATTGTTTCTAAAAATATTAATTTCAGGGCAATAATTCAATAACAGTCAATGGAAGTAGCAGTACAATCTCAATATTGATCTACATTACAGTTATTTTACAGAAGATGAACAATATTCCCTGTCAGTTGTTCTGGAAGATATTTAAAACAGTGCTACACATTAGTCCTTTAAAGGCACAAACTGGATTCATCTTAAACCAACCTAGACTCACTGTTACTGGTTTTGTGGTTTCATTTCCTAACAGAGGCTAGATAGGCATACCAGAACAGGGCAACCAGGTTGGCAAACAGCACTCGAAACTGTGAAAAGAGTAAAGGAAACGGAAGTGAGATAATGAATTGGAGATCAATCTGAAAGAGAGGAAATTGTGTCATGCTCTTGTGCTTCACCTGTACAGGTATATAGTTGATGTTGATAAACTGAAACGGGGTCCAAACCTTCCAGTTCATCTTCATTGCAGGCCAGTAACTTGTTTTAATTTTCTTTTGAACATCTGGGATTGTCTTGCCCTGCAAAGATCAGGATCACAAGGATGTTGTGCCACCATAAACAGCATATCTCATGAATTAGAAATATAAGATAAAATGAGTTTAGTGCACATTATAGTAGCTGTAAAATGAAAGCTTGTTTCCGCCACAGAATAAAAAAATAAACACTTTTTATCTCACAATTCTGACTTTTTCTCAGAGATATAAAAATCTTTATATCTTGCAGTTCTGAGGAAAAAATAATTTGTAAAGATGTAAACTCGCAATTCTGACTTTTTTAAACTCAGAATTGCAAGATATAAACTCGAAATGTGAGAAATAACATCAGAACTGCAAGATATAAACGTGCAATTACAGGAAAAAAGTCAGAATTGCACATTTATATCTCACAAATCTGACTTTTTTATTAGAATGGTAAGATATAAACTCGCAACTACAAGAAACAAAGTCAGAACTGTGAGATAAAAAGTCGCAATTACTTATTTTATTTTTTATTCTGTGGCGAAAACAACCTTCCGTAGTAAACGTAATCACCCTAACCCTAACTTTTAGATTTATTTTAACTTGTTTATCTGCATATGCTTTATAATAACTTCTGTTCTCTGTGTTCTCTTCCTTGTGCGTGTCTCCGGGTGTGTGAGTGTGTGTGTGTTTGCTAATTGTACAAGATACAGCTTCAGCGCTCTGTAACCTTGAAGGACAGTCAGATTGATACAAAATTATGAATGGACATAAACACCAGTTGAGCCATGAAAAGCTACTTTGTTTCAAGGAAGAAATGAGTTTCCAAATGCAAAAGGACATTCTTCCCTAATGTCTCTTCATTGAGACATTCATTTAACCGTTTTGATTTGTTTTTGTACTCAAAAAAATTATCTATAAGCCTTGTATTTGTTAAATGGTGTCTTGACCCAGTAAATCTTCAAGCAGAAGGTAAAACAGGGAAAAAAGTTCAGTATTACAATAAATTAGTTAGATGTCAATTGTAATTAGCACAGACATACCAGGTGGTGTGACACTGGCAGCTCTTTCGAAAATTTAAATCATAAATTTAAATTTAAATATAAAAAAATATATAAAAAAAATGAATCAATGACTTTTGGCCTTATGTATTCACAGAGAAATCAAAGCCTCTGTCAGCAGCACTAATCAGAACCACCTCGTGAGCTGAGAGACTGAACACTGTAGATCAGCAAACAGATGAAGTTCATTGACCAGCAGCTATACTCGGGTCAAAGTTGAGCATCATGAAGGACAGCTCACATAAGATCTACTTTTAATGAAAAGATTGCTGCGTGATCGATGAGTGACAACCAGTCCTGTTGCCCTACGCTCCACAACATTATGAAAATCACATGCTTGCTTCATCCATACTCCACCTATCTTACCATAATTACTACCAACTTCTCATTACATAGTAAAACAATGAGTCAACAACAGTAACGACAACAAAGTTGCATATAGAGGTATGTCCAGAAAATGAAGTAAGTGTAAACAAATGCAGAAATAAGCCCTAAAACACATTGTTGTGCTGTATTTAAAGTGCCACTATTATGCTACAATAGTTTAACATGCATTCAAGGGCAAAAACTTTTTTCTGAAACGGTTCGATAAAAGATTCGATCTCTCTAAACCCCTCCTTTCAGAAAACCTACTCTGCTCTGATTGGTCAGATGGCCCAGTCTGTTGTGATTGGTCCACCGCTTAGAGCGTGTGTCGGAAACTAAACTTCCATTAACATATCTGAATTTCATCTTTGAATTTCATCTTCCTCAGCACTTATAGTGAAGCAAACAGTAACAATGTTGTTGGTTTTACTGATTTTTCACATCCTCATCCTTTGAAAGTGCAGCGCAGCGTCTTCTCGATATGTCGTCGATAAAAACTAAACTCTTCCAGGCCTCAGCTACAACTACAGTGTTTGAGGGTCAAAGTAGACGTTGTTTGCAGACAGCCGATGAAGACCAAGGCTGGAATTAGGCAAATTTGTTACAAAACAACATATAGGCAGTACAGAATCGGTTCTTTCTTTTCAGAGACAATAACTCCATTTGTCATGACCTTTGCAAAACTTTCACATCCACAAACAGCTATTACACACTACATAAAAGGTAATATCCGAAAAAGTACTCTAAGAAAACATTTTTTCTGTCCAATGAGGTTGAAACTTTGAATAATGTCACAAAGAAGTTCAGTTATGAAACATTACCTCCAAAGCATTCATAACCACATAGAAGAGCAAGAGGAAAGCCGGGGCGAATATGAGACGTTCCAGCAGAAGGCGCTTGATCAGGCAGTAGGGGACAGTGGTTGGCAAAAGCACCTCCAGGAGATGGTAGAAGTAATGACTGAGTGGACCTGTGATAAAAAATCTGAAAAAATCAAAAAGACATTTTAAACATTTATAACTCATCGTATAACAGGTCTGATATTAAATATTTAATCCTTTTGTAAAAAAGACTTAATGTGTACTGCGACGTATATGTAATCAAATTGAATTATTTAACTCAAAAAAATCATTCTACCCATAAATTGCAAAGTGTACAGGTCCCAGAATGTTGATTTTCTTTTTTGGGCTATTTTCTTTGCTGTGCTTCCTGTACTCCAAAGCTTGAGCCAGAAGATTTCCCAAAGCAGATAGAATGCCACTGTAAGAAAAGACAAAACAACCATTGTATCATTGTTCCCAAATGGTCTTGCATCTAATGAAGAAGACGCTTGTATTTTTGTGTTTGGTTACTTTTGACAGGACTTGATTGCCCCACCCTCCAAACAACCAATGGAAAAATACTTATTGCAAAGTCCCTTATGGCTTAAGCTTAGAAAAAACAGTAATGGATAAAGAAAAAAGATATTTTGCTACAAAGATTTTTATTAAATTAAGTTTTTTTTTTTTTTTGCTTAGTTTTTAGTGATTAACTTGTTTTAAAAATATTTTATATAAGATAAAACTGACCTCACATTTCCCTGTTGTTATATTAATAATAACTATAAGAAATGTATAAATTATTATTATTAATTATAATCATGATTCTGTATTAATATATGGTTAAGTATTAAGTATCAGTATCTTATATTAGGGGCATTTCATCTTCATACAGTAGGTGTAAATTTACCAACCAGAAGAAATTGTATCTAAGTTACAGTGAATCTAGAAATTCTAACTAGGAAGACTAACCAGGAAAAACTGCTTTTACGATTTTTGTGAAATAAAAAGTAAACGACTGGTAATATAGGCCTATATGTTGTACTGTTTTGAGCAAAATAGTAAAATAAATCAATAAATTGTACTTGTCTGATATCATCACCACAAGCAGAATTCGTCAATGTAGATCGAGCAACTTATTATATGATCAGTGTGTGATGTTTAAATGTATAATGATTTGTTAGTGGTTTAACTAAGATAACGATACGATCATGCAAATCGGTTGTCAGCATGGTAATATTAGCAGAGGTGGAAGTAACGAATTACAACTACTCACGTTACTGTAATTAAGTAGTTTTTTCGTGTACTTGTACTTTTATGAGTATATTTTTAAGTCTGTAATTTTCCTTGTACTTAAGTACAAATTAAGTTAAGTAATGTACTTCGCTACTTTAAAAATCACATTCGTTACTAAGTACTTGTACAATTTGAATTAAATAAATTTTCAAATCTTTGACCAGCATTTCGGTATCCAATAGAAATAACTGATCGTGGGCGGGCCAATAAAAACCCTTGTATTTGGACCGGGAAAAAAGCCCGGTTTCTGGAGAGCTATTCGTCCTCGCACGTCCTTGACTGTGAAGGTGTATTTTAGTGTTATCAAAGAACTTTGGCGTTATGGACATGGAGATTCGAGACGCTGAATTCATTGAAAATTCCGAAGAAATACCGGATGACGAGTGCCCTTGGGCGCACAAATGCAATGCAAACTTTGTTTGCCATCTGCAGTGATTTCGGGTTACAAGACTTCAGCCTCTAATCTCAAAAAACACATTATGGTACGAAGACTTATAACTATATTTATGTGATAGTTGTTTTCGTTTTTAATGTTGGGTAGATCTCACGATAATTTGACTAAAAACATCACTTGAAACATGAGCTTCAGCGTTACCAGGTGACGAGCACATAGAGCGTAAAAAAATATTTAGCATTGTAAAGTGGCTTTATGTCATTGTCAACAAATTGTTTTATTCATATTGAATCTGTGTTTTAAACTTATAATAAACGGTAGGCTATAATAATGACTCTTTCATAAAAACAGTCTCTTGCCGCGACCCACTGGCGTAACAGTGTAACTGCACTGTTTGACAGCCTGTCTAGATTGCGCATGTGTCAGTGCTAAATGCTGATAACTTTTGAAATATTAGTAGGGTACTTTTGGAAAGCTTTCTTGTCCAGTCAGATTTTTTTAAATGTAAAAAAACAAAAAAGAAAATTTTATAAATAAAATAACCCAACAAGCTCATTTATGTTGCATTATAATTCATTAATAATAATATTAGACCATTTTTATAACTTGATTCCCATAAAAATAATATGAAGAAATAATATGAAATAATATATAATTTCCTTTATATACTTCCTCTGTTATATTTTCAGTTGTTGGTTTGCAGTGAAAAGTTTATACTGTTTATACATGTTTAAAATTAATTTAACATTCTTTAAACAGACAAAATTCCTGTACTACATGTTTATTCGTATAAAACACAAATTGCCTGTGTTTAAACCATTCATATTTCTGATTTGATTTAATGGATTTGATGTTTATTCAATAAATATCACAGGCTAAAAAGTAATTAGTACTTGAGTAGTTTTTGAGAGGGGTACTTTGTACTTTTACTTAAGTACATTTTTAACACCAGTACTTTTACTTGTAATTGAGTATTTTTTTAGCAACTACTTGTACTTGTACTCGAGTACAAATTTTCAGTACTCTTTCCACCTCTGAATATTAGTAACTTAATTCCCCAAAATACAGCTAGCCAACTAGCTTTAACAAAGATGTAACGCTAACTGACCTCGTCACCGATTTGGTGATGATTGGATATTTCTTTAACAAACTCAAGTATTGCTGCAGTACCCTCGCCAGAAAAGAGGGATCTCGGACAAGTACACTTTGCGTTGGCATCGTCAGTTTACTTTACCAGTACAACGTGTGTGCACTTGTGTCATCAGAGACCAATGTTTTCTTAACAAAGTGCAAATCCTTGATGAGGGTCGAACGAGGCGTGCGTGGACGTGTACGTCATAGAAAAGAATGGCTCTGTGCAATCCTATTGGTTTACTTCTACATGACCACGCCCTAAAGTCCACGTGCTGAGAGATACATCAATTCTTATTAAAGGGATAGAACCACTGATCTATATAGAATGACATCGTCATTATATAGATCAGTGGATAGAACATTCAGTCAAATGCATGCACGACTATTGTTCTCACAAGGAAGATATTAGGCAGAATATTAATTACATTTTAAAATAATGAATATGAATGATGACAGGGGCTGTTGAAAAAAAAAAAAAACACAAAGCAACATTTTTTTTTTTAAATGACTCATGCACCACATCCCACGTCCTTCCTTCTAGCATAGCTTTCATTTGCAAAGATTCGGAGACAATTTCAAGACCAGAAAACCTTCAGAGGTTTTTAGCTATGCGATTTAAAACATGTGAAGAAGTGGAAAACGGTTAAAGGAAATATATTACTGTTGCGGAATTAATTTTATTTATATGTGAAAAAATGTTCACCCACACAGTCATACACACCAATACCATAAAAATATACAATTGTTTGTGCAAATAGCATAATTTACAATCAACAAATAACAAGGAGCTTACATAACACTGGAAATGGGTGTAGACTAATAATTTATGTCATCTGAAAATCTGTGGTAAATACTCAGGATCTGGAACATGGGTTGCCATTCTCATATCCCTGCTAAATTTCCCTTCTAAGCATTTACTAAAGTTAAAATGATAGGATATGTCAATCATACAACAAAACAAAACAAAAAATAAGGAGGATTTATAGAAAAACTGATCTACATGTAGACACTATAAACACCCGATGAGGATCCATCCCGTGGTTGAGTGTTCTTTACTCCAAAATGTGAAACAAACTACTTGTTGGGGTTTACATGTTACAAAAGACTGTTATATGTGAATTGCATAAACACAATATTAACAATGGGTAATTCATTGACAAAGACACATCATCGCTAATTACATATAAAAAAAAAAAACTGCATGAGAAACCACGTAAAAATCTTCTGTCTAAGAAATCATTAGCTTAATGAGGAAGGCAACAATTCTGGGTCAATTTGCAAAAAAACATTATCATGAAACGTCGAGTTTTCCTGTTCAAGTCTCAATGTGAATCCCATATCAGTGGCAACTAATAATCATGACTGGCATCATTCCTATGCAGTTTACTAAAACAACAACCGCCGTAGACACTGAGCAAGATTAAGGTGGAAACTATGAAATACAGAACCCTCGTCTTCCCTCTCTTTCTCACAAAGAGAGATCAGAAACAACATGCATGCAAACTGCATGCACAGGGATGCACGATTGCACTTGGCCATAGTAGCACGGCCTGAAAAGGGTTAACATTCTAGATTTAAACCAACAATAAGTAACCCGGGTCAGCTGGGATGTTACTCTTCTACCCTCAGACCGTGCCTTCGCACTCGTTCGTAAAAGAGCAGGTATGCGCTGGAGGAGAGCGCCTCCTGAAGGCTGGCTTTCCTCACAGAATCATCAGAAACCCAGAGCCACTGGGAGCTAAAAGGAGAAGTTCCACGGGGAGCAGCAGGACAGCGGCGGTAAGTGATAAAATGTCCCGAGTGCATGTCGCCATGGTGAACCAGCACAGCTGTTAAGCGGAAGAGGTACTCTGAGGGGCTGGGGAAAAAAGTTAAGGTAGTATGAAAAAAAAAAGTTCAGCTTAGAAGCAGTTTAAAAAAAAAAAAAAAACTCTATTATAATAAGGCTCTTTATAATAGCATGCATGCATCTACCTGTAGTCGTAAGTGAGGTTGAGTTGTGAGCTCAGTCCTGGTGAGTGTAGAAAGACAGAGGGAAAGGTTCCATTGGACAGTGGCTTATTGTTGTTGCAATGTTCTGAATCAGCAAAAGAAATTGAAATTAATCTTAATGAAGACACTCAAAAATATATTTATACATGTATTCAATAGGAAAAATATATAATAACAATTCATAATAATAGTAAATAGCAAAAACAATTGCATGGATATTTGATTGGTTTTTATAGATTAATTACTTTTTATCTAGAGTAAATCCATATTCACAAATCTAAATGACAACATCAGCATTGAACACTCAAAAATAAAATGATATTTTGTATACATTGTATAGAATAGTATTAGTATTAAATAAATAATATATAATAAATATATAATAACAAATATAAATAATCATCATCATTACTGTTATTATTATAAATAGCAAAAGGATTGCAAGGATATTTGATCTATATTAGTAAATCCATACTGACAAATCTAAAGACAACTTTAAAATCCATCTTAAGAGATTTTATATACATTCTAAATAATAATAATAATAGCATTAGTAGTATTAATAATAACGATAATTATTATTATAAATAGCTAAATGATTGCAATGAGATTTAATTCGTTTAACACATAAATAAACCTTTATCTGGAGTAAACCATATTTACAGATCATAACGACAGCATCACATCACAGTGATAACCAACGGAAAAGTTCACATCTCTTACCAACACCATTGGCAATGGTTTTGTCTTTTTGTTCTCCGGCAGCTTTGGCAGATATGGGTTTGTTTGTTCTGCTGGTCCTCAGCAGGTTTTGACCAGCAGTGCAATGTTTGTATCGATCCAGAGACAAATACTCAGTAAACTGAACATGCTCTTGTCTCTTTATGGGAGTGCCCTCTTTAGACCACGTCAGTCTCTGCAAATGGATGCAGAGGCACTGAGGCAACTAAACGTGAAAAGAAATACACACATACACACAAACCAACTTAAGAGCGCTGTTAAGGCCTGTTCACATCAAGGACGGTAACTAAAATGATAAATATATCATTTTTAAAACAGTTCTGAACTTAAAAGAATAGCAGAATCCACACCACAACAATAACGATAACAGCACAGAGGAACGATATAGTTGGAATCACTTTCACAGCAATTTTTTTCCAACAAATGAACGATAAAAACATTGACAGCCAATCATTCATCGAGTATTTAAAGCTGCAGACGACAAAACTCCAGTGTGCACTTAGAATAAACAGAATGATTTTGGGAGTTGGTGTGGACATTATCGTTATAGTTATCTTCCTTGGCGTGAACGGGCCTTTAATCATTTACAAGCCAACTGTCAGAGATCAGGAAAGGCTGTTGGTCTAAATGTGAGAATTTCAAACGTGTACTGTATACCTTCCCAAGTTTCAGCTGTTTGACAAATGTCGTCCTCTGACTCTCAAGGACTTCTCCATTTACAAGCTCTCCGGCCTGTTGCTACAAAGAGACAGAGAGAATCAGTTCAGCAAATAAATGATGAGGTACAATGGTACTAAAGCAACTTGCCCTGCTAAATTGAACATATAGGATACCTTGGTACAGTTTTCACACTCCACTTCTTTAATGGTTTCAGAGGAGATGAAATGCTGTAGACACTGGTCCAAAGTAACAGGTCGGCCCTGAAAGAATGATACACCAACTATACTTTTTGTCTGTAAGATGCTTGCTGAGTAATGCAACTTCAACTGTCATATTTGAATACAGTGATGACAAAATATTTAAGGAAGCTATTTTGCACATGTAATTGTGAATTACTGAACAAGTTTGCATTACCCACTGTACTGAAGGGATTGAAAGAGACAGGCTGTCGAAAGAATCATAGTGCACAGGACTCTGAAAACAAAAACGGAGAGGGTTAACAATTCCATTGTTTCAATAAGATGCCATAGACATAAATATTTTTAAAATCTTAAAAATGTATTGAATTGATTTCAATTATTTAAAATTGAATATGAAAAAAAAAGTCTGAAAAAGGTCACCTGCTGCTCACAGCGCTTGCAAGCCATATAACTTGTTAACCGCCCATGAAAAGGGTGCCGAGTCCTCCATAAACTTGGAATAGGGTGTAATGGGCCTGGAGATGAAAAAGATAAATTACTAAATGCTTAAAAAAAAAGGTAATTGTCTAAATGTTTAAAGAAGAAAGTCTTCATTTACCACCACTTCTGCAGCTGATATTTTTTTCTTTGGACTCCACAGATTTCTGAAAGCATTAACAGTGGGGTGGTAAGAAATGTCTATGGAATATCTATTTATTTTTGAGTCCTAATTTTGCAGTAATGGTGACTGCTCTCGTTTACCTCCAGTGTTTGCATGTCGAACAGGTGAGCAACTCTGGGTTGGCGTTCCCGTTCCTCCTCTAATGATGATGTGAGAACATGAAAGAGCTCATGAGCATCCTGTAGAGAGAAGGCAAGAAATGCTCATTTATATTGTCATTTTTAAGTTAAAGTTCCACTGCAGTCTATAATTTGGACAAAAATTTCTTCAAGCCTTAAAGGAGAACTCCGGCGCAAAATGAACCTTTGGTCTAATTACACATTGTTACCTAGTCAACCGTTATCTGAGATTTGTTTTCATGATTATCGAATGTAAATAGTTTTATCTCTAAAAACAGTTTAGCCTATAAAGCTAGTATAACGCTAGTATATTGGGCATAGAGAAATGACAAATAAAAATCGCTTGTTAATACCACTAACAAGGCTCAAAATAGCCCCACACTAACACGGTAGCATAATGAGGGTCCCTACCTTCAAACCGAAGCATTGAGAACTTTGTCAGTGTCCAGACAGTTTAATAAGAAGATATTTAATACATACAGTCAACTTCGCGTATACAGACAGGAGCCATCTTTGAAAAAGAGTCTCTACCAGTTGATCTACGAACGCCGATCCAAGTGCGCTGGTGAGATGTGAACGAGCTATAAGTTGTGATAAGGTGAGCGCGAACAGTAGGCTTGGATCGGCGTTCGTATATCGACTGGTAGAGACTGTTTTTCAAAGATGGCTCCTGTCTGTACGCGAAGTTGACTGTATGTTTAAAATATCTTCTTATTAAACTGTTTGGACACTGACAAAGTTCTCAATGCTTCGGTTTGAAGGTAGGGACCCTCATTATGCTACCGTGTTAGTGTGGGGCTATTTTGAGCCTTGTTAGTGGTATTAACAAGCGATTTTTATTTGTCATTTCTCTATGCCCAATATACTAGCGTTATACTAGCTTTATAAGCTAAACTGTTTTTAGAGATAAAACTATTTACATTCGATGATCATGATCATGAAAACAAATCTCAGATAACGGTTGACTAGGTAACAATGTGTAATTAGACCAAAGGTTCATTTTGCGCCGGAGTTCTCCTTTAAAATAGCTTGAAATGTACACATGTAACAAATGTATGCCCTTGCTTTATTTAGTATACGCGGAACCATGAATATGCAAATTAGTCCCCGCCTCCACTCAATCGCACCAGCTCAGACTACCTGATCCACTCGGTCAACTCTACTGTTGTAATCACTACAGAATGGCAAGTGGAAATACTGGTTTAATTCAGCCATATAAGTTTGAACCATAAACTGATTCAGAAGAAGAGGAAAAGTGAATTATAAATGTGTTTTATGTATGGCTCTCTACAACGTCAGCCACATAATGGTAATTAAAATGATTTATGAATGGCAGTGAAGCGACGCAACTGACAACGTAGGACGACAGCATGCCAAATGTAGCACATCCCAGATTACATTTATCCTACACACACTCATATTATATAGAACATACTTTTTTAGCGGTCATGAAGTAATTACTCAAAAGAGTATGCGATTTTGGACGCAGCAGAAGTTACATGTTTGTGACGGTAGGAAACAGGGGCGGTTTCAAACCATGTTTTTGAGACTGTCTTTTGTACACTGCATTTTTAAGGAGAAAATACTCAGCAATGGTGTTGACTGATTAATTTCCACATAGACACATTAAAGACTTGATTTTCACCACAGGGGGTCTTTAATGAATTCCTCCATTTTTAGGTGAACTATTCCTGCAAAATATGCAACTCTTTAAGAACATCCTACCTGTTCCTCAAAGGAGCTGATGTGCCATCTGTAGAGTCTGAGAGCTTCTAAAAGGCCTCCCGCATCTAAAACGTTATCTTCTCCAGGATCATGACTTGATAGGGCTTTATAAAGGAAGGAAAATGGAGAGATCGCCCTTTTAGTGTGCATTAACATTTTGTGCATTTGTGTGCGCTGAAGTGAATGGGAAAGAACCTTTAAGTAACTGCATCAGAGATCTGGACAGCTGAGTCTCTCTCTCTGTTCTCTCTGGATGGACACTGCTTTCACTTGTAAAGTCTTCAAGCCATCTGATGAAGGAAGGACACGCTGCCAGGCCCTGGAGAAGTGAGTTCATAAAGCATGTGTTCCCCAGATTAAGCAGACCAGGAACCATACCTGTGAGAGAAATGATACATTTCAGAATAAAAAAAGAAGTGTGAAGTCCGCACACTGAAAAAGCTGCTCCAAAGAATTTATTAGCAAGGCAAATGATATGCCAATGTTTATTTAAAATGCTACGAAACTCCGCACCCAATGCTGAGTACTTTATCGTACAAATGAGGGCATTGAGAACTTGCGTATTCTTATCACGTTTTTTTTCGCAAACACTGCATTTGAGAGGTCTCATTGATTTTCTTTTTGGCATTTTCGATCCATTCTATACGGTAACCACGATTCAAGAATCTTTTAGTTAAAACATTGGATTGGTGAGTATATGATTCATCCGTGCTACAGATTCTACGCACACGCTTAAATTGACTGATAGGTAAACTCTTAATTAAAGGTCTAGGATGGAAACTATCGCCTCTTAAAATAGTGTTGCGATCCGTTTATTTTCGGTATGTGACATTTCAGAATAATACATCTTATTCTTATTTTCATTAAATAAGCAATAACCATACCTGTGAGAGACATGATTCATTTAAGCAATGAATACAGTCACAACACAATGCAGTGCCTGCAACTCCTATTGCTATTACTATATTCATAATATACAGTAACAGAGCCTTGAGCCTCATTGCTATCATAAAATGGTTACTACTTTATATTTTATACTTCTAAACATTTTCATTTGGGAAAAGCAAATTCATGAGGTGGCATCCTTATACTACAAGATATAATCCCTTACATGTACTAGTTTGCCTTTTTTTGAGGCACTGTATTGCCCTACACATCCAGCACCAGAACGGTCTATTTTACAATAAAGGTTAAAGTGACCATGAAATCAATTCTTGTTTTAAATTGGTGGCGGGTTGACTAGCTTTCGTGAGGCACACTCGCAAGGTCTCTCGCTCTCTCTCTCTCTGCCGTGCTCGCGCTATGTATGTTATGCGCGCAGTATGTTCTGTCTCGCATGCGCGCTCTAGATTCCGGCTGATCTGAACTAATTTGCGGGCATCAGGGAGACGCAGGAGACTCCCAGGAGACTTGGGATGTCTGCAATGGCCACAGACAATTTGAGGAAGTGGTGGGGGAAGTGACGTATGCCGTAAAGCAGTCGAATTTTGTAGTTCTTTTTGTGCACGGGTTCCTACCCGAAACCCGAAGTTACATAGTGCCAGTAAAAGCGATACAGACCACGTCAGGCTATGGCAGACGTGTCATTTAACTTATTTTAAGTCGATGTACCATCACAAGGGTCTTTGAAATATATTATGAAGGTTGAAAAACTACATAGTGTTACTTCAATTTTTTTTTGCATTGATTTCATGGGCCCTCGTAACTTTTAATCAAAATAATTTCCCATCCCTCTTGCAGAGACATCTCTTCTCTGATGCCATGTTCAAGGGTGCGAGGGCGGGGCAACCTGTCAATCACATGAAATCACAGCAATCGCAAATCACAACAATCCAATCAAATCCCATTGAATAAAATCAAGCCCCGCCCTACATTCTGCTTGTTCAAGATGCTAGGGCGGGACTTGATTTTATCCAATGGGATTAGATTGGATTGTTGTGGTTTGCTACTTCTGTGAAACAGCTACTTAAACAAGAAAAAAATTAGGACGGGACATGATTTTGTCCACCAGGAATTGATCAGATCATGTCTTTTGCTGATTGCTGTAATCTCATGTGAGTGGCAGGTTGTGTACACGTCATCAGTGAAGAGATGTTGTTTGAAGTAAATGTTTTTTTTTTTTTTTTATTAAAGCACATGAATTTACAAATATGATTTGCATGGATAAATCATTTGAAATAAACAGCAATATTTCATAAAAAAAATTCAATTCATAATGACATTAACTTCCTTGAGGACTTTTAACCAAAAAGAAAACAAACCTTTTCTCTTCTTCTTCCTGTCTGAAATTGGCCCCCATAGTACATACACTCCAGCAGCCATGGCAGCAGCTATCCCACCAATCACACCCCAGTTTTTCATCATCTTGTTCCTGAAACATAAAGAAAAAAATACAGTGTTTTCAAATTTGGTTGCATCCAGCACAGACAACTGGATTGAAATGAAGTGACTAAGTTAAAGAGCACATTTACAGATCCTTACATGTAGACTGATCACAAACAAACATGTCAGAGGGACACCTGTAGCAGACTACCTCTGACCTTGACAGCTGTGTTTGCATTAAGTCTGGCTCTCTAGCAAAAGCCCATAAGCCATTAGTGCGTACAACACACTTTTTTGGGGTGGGAGGGAGTAAAACATTTAAAGCCACACTTCGTGCTCAGATTCATGCTGCATACTGAATTAGAGATTTCTGAATCATTAAATACCTATAAGTGCTAATTTCACATCTATTTTTAAGACAGATGAAGTAGTTTAGTCTGATTAAGCTACTGTTGGCTATCAAGCTATGAAGAGAACCATCCGAACACGTTTATTACAGCACTTATGTTTACTGGGTCTAGACTAGCTAAAAGCAACACAAAAAAAAGACAGATTCGCATGTTTATTCATCTGTGATGATCAATGAAATACAAACACAGTAATAAAAGCGAATGTCTGGTGGCCTCCAGTGCAACAGCTGGGACCAACTTTACTGCCCTTTCCTGCGTCTAGTTGAGCTACACAGATTCACTATTTAGCCGTCACGTCACACGTTTCCATACAAACTCAAACCTTGCAGCAGATCCAGTGCGTAAGAACTCTCGAACAAGCTTGTCTGTAGCTCCCTGTTTGCACCAAGGCATATTTCACTGCGCCCGCATATGCGGAACTAAACATTGCGCATTGTTGTTCGACGGACCTTCCACGGAGTAGGACCGAGGCTGCCGCAAGCGGAAATTATGGAAGGCTGGGAAAGCTGTATTTATAATGAGATTTTGTTTGTAAAGTACAAAAATGCATTGAAAAAAACATTCAATGTTCAATGTACACCTTTACTGTTTGGGAAAAGGCACTTCTGGGGTTAACAAATTAGCTGGATAGAATTCCCAATTTATGGAGTGAAACCAGGTAATAAACTTACAGAAGAGACTCATTAGATTAAAAAAACAGTTATAAAGGCTTTATTAAATTTGTGATTTTTTTTCAAGGACAAGTGAGTACCTTTTTATCACTTTATCTGATATTTGGGTAGACTTCTTTATAGTTCTTCAATATTCAAATCTGTTAACTTGATTTTGTACATCTAATTATGGATAACTGGATATGTAAAGACAACACTGAATAAAACACTGAAGACTCTTAATTTTACAATAAAAATATAAAAAGCTATTATAAAATATACAGTATTAATATTTTGACTATACTGTTAAAGTATATGTATTGTCCTCACTGTAAAAAAATATTGTTGGTTTAACTTAAAAAAATAAGTAACCTGGTTGCCTTACAATTTTAGGTTAATTGAACTTAAAACATTTAGTTAATACAATGAAGGAGATTTGTTTAATCAACAGAAACTCAAAATATTGTTATCTGAACCACATAAATGATCTTAGTTGATTTGACAAAAGAAAAAAATGTGATAACAAATCATAAAAATAATAATAGTGATATTATTTTCATCATAATATTTTATTTTTTAATTGTAAATTTCATTTGCTTCCAAAACCCATCTCTCTCTCTTTTTTCTTCTTCTTTTTTTTAACAGTATTTACAGCAAAATTACATTTATTGTCTGTTAAATCTAATCTTTGTTATGCATCAAGTCTTACCATCATATCACTTGTTAAAATTACATCATCCTTTCAAGGACAAGTGAGTATCTTTTATCACTTCATCTAATATTTTGTTTGATTTATCGGTAGTTCTTCAGTAATCAAATCTGTTACCTTAATGTTGTACAGCTAAATATGGAAAACTGGATATTTGAGGAATTATCAGCTTTAATTTATTTTTCAAACAGTGCCATGACCTTGTGCACTAGCAAGCCTACATTTGTATATAGTTTTTAAATGCTTCAATGCAATTTATTAACCAGACATTTTCTCATTGGATATTTAAAATATGAATATAATTTACTTCACATTTTGGAAACATGAAGGCCAGTGTACTAATCTATATAAATAATAAATAAAAACAAATACAAATAAAAAACAACATGAATGGGGGGGGGGGGGGGGGGGGGGTTGATCCAATGACATGGATGGCAAAGTGTATTGTCTTGATTCATCATCTCCAGAACATATTCACAGTTCCCTGCTGGTGCTTTGGTATGACACGGGCGTTCCAGCCTTTGCAGAGATCCAGCAGGAGCGACACGACGACGACACGACAGGCGCAGGAATCATGGCAGCTCCGCACAACACCGCCCCTCTCTGAGCGCTTCACGGTCCTCACGCCTGTGGTGCTGAAATCAGACTCGACTCGACAGCAATGTAACGGCGATGAGACAAAGACTCCGTCAGTCCGACGAACAGACCGATAATGGACGATGATTTGTTTCAGTTAAGGCAGCTCCCGTGAGTGTTCTTTTCATCCTTTTCCTTTCATCCGCACGCGACCTGAGCCATCATGCAAACACTCTTCCGTTCATTTAAGCCCTTTTAGTGACCTACAGCGACTAGAATGTGCCGTAAACAACGTGACATTGATATTTATGCAACTTTAAAAAATAAATAAATCAATGCTTACATAATGCTGTTTGATGTAGAATATGGATACGCACATTTGGGATTTATGAATTGGCAGAGGTGCATGTTCGGTAAACAGCTCAAGTAGATTAAACAGCTTATTTATGCATGTTAAAGCATGTAACCTTGTGTTGCAAAGACCATTTCCTCGTCTTTTTGTTCATTTGCATTGTACATGTCATGACACCTTCCATTAAATAACACAATGGTTTGTGTATGTGTTTTATTGATATAGACACTCATTCTGCTCACAGATCAAAATTTCGGCCAATATCACTTTGAGAGCTATTCAGATTAATTTGATTGGCTTTTTAGAAAATGAAAATCCTGTTGTGACTTTTCAGATTGTTCGCATTTTAAATTATTTCTGGGACAGGGCTTCTTAACCCAGGGTTAAATACAGTGCTAAGCCCTTTACAAATGTGGCAGGGTTAAAAAAAACATGTTAACCCAAGGTTAAGAATACACTGAAGAAAAACCCTTCTTAATTTTACAATAAAAATATATAAAAAGCTATTATAAAATACATTATTAATATTTTAACTATACTGTATTGTCCTGTTAAATGTAATGTTATTTTCATCATATTTCATTTTTTATTATAAATGACATATATGGTAATACATTATTTTTGCTTCCAAAACCCATCTCTTTTTCTTTTTTTCTTCTTCTTTTTTTTTTACAGTATTTTACACTAAAATTACATTTATTGTCTGTTAACCCTCTGTTATTGTTTATTTGGGAGTCACACTTGTGTTGTTTCAGTCAAAAGTGACCGAACACCTAAAATGTAACTTTTTTTATTTTCAGTCAAATCAATGTAATATATTTTTGTTCAATAATATTTTTTTATTTTGTATTTTGAGAGAATTTTATGTTACTAATTAATATTTATGCAATAATATATGATATGTAATGATACATGATTGCTGTAATCTCATGTGAGTGGCAGGTTGTGTACACGTCATCAGTGAAGAGATGATGAAAATTATCATGATAATGATAATTTTCACCAAAAAAAATTCTATTTATTTATTTGTCCATTAAAGTCAAGTCACCTTCATTTATATAGCGCTTTTAACAATATAGATTATTTCAAAGCAAGATTGTTTAAAGCTGTATTTTAAAATAGAGACGATATTTAAAATCCAATTTTTGAAGGCAGATTAGTGTCATCTGATGGGAGTAAAATAAGGAAAACATCTTTAATGCCATGGTGTAACCAGTAGATTCATATTTATCTCTATATAAAGAGGCTTATATATATTCTATAGTTGTTTTTAGACAGAAACTTACTTTTATTTGGCTGTGGATTTGGATATATATTTAGACATTCTCAAAGACTTTTTGTTTGATATGTTGATTTGAAGTGTCAGTTTTTCCAATAATTTTACTACAGTCAAACCTGAACGCAGAGAAAGACATTTTGTTAAAACATCAAAATTCTATAAAAATGTAACAAATTGAAAATGAATTCTTTATCAGAGCTTAATCAATCTGGGTCTGATTTGATTTCAACCTCTTATTTGAGTCTTCTGGCTCAATTTTGCCATATTGTTACAGCAACACCAGTTCATGTATACGTGTATAATAGTTGTGTGTGTCTGTGAGAGTGTGTAAGTCAATGTGTGTTTGAGTGTATGTTTTGTACTCTTGATGTTTTAGAGTGTAACCCCTTCCTTGTTGCTTTTTTTTATGGCATTGTGGCTGAATTATTGATTTTATTTTCCACATTTGCAAAAACTTGCTTTGTGTTGCAGTCAAACCAGTTCATATTATGTATGAGGGTGGGGTTTGGGTGGAGTGTGCCTATTTTGCACTCTATATATTTCAGTGTCACCCCTTCACTGTGTGCTTTTTTCTGCAATGTGGCTGATTTGGAGATTGTACCCTCCCCAAAAAAATTGCTCTCTTTTTTATATTTTTTGTATTTCCCATTAATTTCCTATGGTGGTAATTTCTGACTGCGAACAACACAAGTGTGACAATTTGTTTTATCACCATAGAATTCGAAAGAAGTCCCCATTTTTTTCATACCATTCAGATGAAGTAATAATTTATAAAAAAGAAATCTGTCTAAAATGTCCTAACAACACCTAGGAGTGTTAAATCTAATATAATATTCATCTTTTATGTAATCAGCTTTTTATTGTAACATTTTTCTGTTGAATTTACAAACATATTTACAGCATAAATGTTGACTGTTTTGAAATGGAATAAGGTCAATCCTGAACAACAACATATTTTAGTCTTGGCATCTTAACAAGACAGTACAAGATAAAAATAAATAGAAATTTGCCCTTGTGTGTCATTGGGCTTTAACCTTTTTATGATCATCCTTCGGATGAGACGTTAAACCAAGATCCTGGTTTAACTGTGGTCATTAAAAATCCAACGGCACTTCTCGTAAAGAGTAGGGGTGGAACCCCAGTGTCCTGGCCAAATTAAATTCCCTCTTTATCAATCACGGCCTCCTATAATCCCCATCCTTTGAATTGAAATGTTACAAAAAAACACTCTCTCTCCTCTCCACCTTTAGCTGGCGTGTGGTGAGCCGTTGCTCTGTGGCTGCCGTCGCTTCATCCATGTGGATGCGGCACACTGGTGGTGGTTGAGGGGAGAGCCCCTGATATGATTGTAAAGTGCTTTGGGGGCACAGTAGTATATTAGTAAAGCACTAAATAAATGCCAATGCCATTCATTCTTTCATTCATCTGTGTTGCAGTAAATGTGCTTCCACTGATTCATAAGAGTTTTGAATAATCTGCTTATGCTGATGTTCTTCCTGTGCTTCTGATGCTTGGCAGTAGGCCCGGTCGCCATCTGATGGTGTGCAGGAATCATGATGGCAGCGCTCTTAATTGCTGATATGCTTGTTTCAGCTTGGCTTTTTCCATGCTTTATGGAAATAATTGTAACAATCATCCTTCATTCTTAGCATTTTCTTTATGCTTGCAGTCATTAATGGAGCGCAGGTCTGTTCTGTCATTGATGATTTATATCTTCATCCTAGTTTTGTGTTTTTTGAATGCTCTCGAGATACTGTTTGTCTCTGCTGAGCGCGGAGAGGTCGTCTGTTTAATTACACTGCCTGTCTGCTCACGAAGGCTTTATTGCTCATAGTGTCGCTGTGAGCCCTGCGATTACAGTTATCTGCGTGCTCCTCTTACTTACTGCTCCCTGGTCCAATCTGTCG